ACAGTCCCAGCTCTGAGACTGCATCGTAATCCTGCGGATTTCATGATTTCCACCATAAGTCGTCACACAAACACAAAATCATCCGCATTTAAGGCTCGAAAATAGTATGGAGAAACATAAGTGAGAATCAGCACCATGTAAGACCATGTAAATCTTTATTTTAAATTAAATGAGGTTGTGAACAATTGGAGGGCCGCTTTCCTCACCTAACTGATGGCGCAAATTTGTCATTAACGACTATTCGTTTTTAACTCAGGCGACCAGCGTGTGGATTAGATTAATTTAGTTCATTGCAAGGTGGAAGATGTCTTGGTTCCACGTGTTTAGGCAAACAAAAGACACACTCCACACATTTATTCAGCATAAAGATAAATCCGTGTGAGTTTGATGGATCTAACAGATTTTTCATGTTGCTCTTATATTCTTCGAAATCTTCACGACTTGCGACACCAGTAACAACTTACTGTAATCCACGTCCTTCAGGCACTTCACTGAAGTACACATCTAGAGATGTTCGTGTACAGTGTGAAAAGTAGTGAGGAGAAAATGACTTGGCGATAGGCCGAGACTGTTAGACAACTGCTGCAGATTGGTGCCGTTAAAAGGTACAAGAAATTAAAGCTCAGACAGATACTCCACAATAGTTCTGAAAATGTAGCAGTTAATTCCAAAATCAGACAGAGTAGAGAGTAACATGACCCTTAACACGATATCAAATGTCAAGGAAAAGTTTGAATCGTAAGAAAATAATATTCAGCATTTTACGATTATAAATGTTTTGTGAAATGACTGTAATAATACTTGAAACAGAAACAGATCTCTGTACATGACGTAGCCGCTTCCCGTCTTCCACTGAGAGGTATTAAAATGAGTTCCAAAAGAATATTCTAATAAAGTTGCCCATATTACGGTAGCCCTTGAATAATAATGCGGCAATGTCAGGTTTCCGCTACAGAATGTTTTTGGGCATTAAATTATTGGTTGCCTTTAAGCACATCTTGAAATCGACTTAAATATGAATTGTACATATAGCAGTAAATACTTTTGTACTACAGCCTTTGAAAGGCCGGAAAGAAATTTGCAGAGTTTAGCAATCCACCAGAATATGCATGACATTACTGTGTTGGAAAACATTAATTTTTATTCAAATGGGATCACCCTATATTACCCTTACTCCTTCTCTTAACATCCTCCCTTTAACAGAAATTCACTATTCACGTCAAATATTTCAGTATTATTGGTCGATCATAAAATCTTAAGTCTCTCCTCACTGTTTCAGATCGTTGGCAAAGTCCTTAGGTTTCACCTCCTTTTTTCCCTGGCAGTGTCGTTGCTTATGCCACATTTTCAACGTACTCATTAGATCGTCTTCTCGTGTGGTGAAACAAACAGAGCCTGCTATCGATCGGTTTTCTTTGATATATTCAAAGTGCGTCCTACGAAAGTATTCTGAATGTGGTCTATACTGCATACACCTCATATTCATTTCTGCATTACATTTCTATGCAGTTCAGCTGTTTTCTTATATCTTTTCAGGGTAGTAAAAGATTCTAATCCGTGCAGAAGCATCGGTCTTACTGTCATTCTGTATGCCTTTCCCTTTGGTTTAATGGGACCTTGTAATACGCCACTGCCCCTTTTCATTTAGGTGATCTTTTAACCTACTGTAGATTTCTTAAGGATGGAACCAAGATATTTGAATCTGTGGCTTTGAGGTAGTAAAATTCCAAGAACTTTCACCAATTCGGTTGCATTTCCCTTGTTCTCTCATTGAAATAACTCGCCATGTATATTTCGACTTGCTTTTGCTGAACCAAGAACTGTTTCTCTGAAGGATTGTTTTCAATGCCTCTGTTTTTGTTTTTATTGTTTCTCTCCTTGCACTTCCTCACGCGATGTCATCTGCACAGAACATAAGATATGAAGATAATTTTTGCATATCTTTGGGAATTGCGACTCTCGCTACAGACAACGGTGGTGAGCTCGCTATTGAACCTTATTAACCTCCTGCGTCCATAGAGATTTTTTTGCTGCACCGCATTATCTCCTCTCGACGGCTGACTATTCAATGCATTGATCACCACAAAAGGTAAACCGCGATGTTGCTGAATGCATAATGGTGTTTGTCAAGAGTGAATCCAACTTTGTGCAAAAACATATAGCAACAACTTTAGCATTTGTTACAGATAATGTTTCTGTCAGCACTTTATGCAAATGTATTGAAATAAATAACTATAAATATTGAAATATCTCTGAGCCAAGAATCAAAAGCCTGAATTACTAGTTTGTATTGAAATAAGCTGCACTTTCTTGAACGTAGCTTGCACATATGAAAATGTCTGTAAGAATTTGGATCGGTCTTACTGCTCTCCATTGGTCGCTGACCATCAATGACGCCACCACCAATGGTTTAGCGTCTATAACGCGATTGGCTGGTTCATTGCCACGGTCGACGAATGAACTGGATTCAACGTCGTGCTTGGTGAAGCATATCAAAGGCGTAATCTCTGCACATCATGTTCCTGAACGCAGACCGCTTTTGATCCCATCAGAATCAATATCATTACCATAATTTGATTTGACAGCGCCAATGACGATTCTATGCACCTTAAAATTTTTCAGGTCGAAAAATTTCAATGAATGCCTCGCGTGAACTCATTTCAAGCATGCACTGAATGATTTTCTTCTCTGAGTTCGTCAGTTCCACAATCAATATTGTTGGCTGACATTGCGCATTCTTCTGTTTGAACAATCTTGACGGATTGTTAGTAGTTAGCATTATTCTTCTTTCTAAATCTGGTTAAGGATATGCATAAATACGTTCTCAAAAATCGACATGAACTGCGTGATAGGAAATTGAATGAGCAAATACGGCTGAAATAGCAACCAATGAAAAGAATACGGCCATGGTCAATCGAAAAAAGTTGTGGTATCAAATTGGTCAGGATCACATGACTGTTTTTCAGATGATACTATCTCAGCGAATTGCGACCAATGTTGGCGACCTGGTTCTATTGTTTCATAACCAGCTTGCCTGCCTAGACAAATCGTTTCGTCCATATATCCCGTGACCTGCCTTTGACCACCAGCTGTCCTTTGCAAATGTGACCACGTCGAGGACACGTGGGCAAAAATTCATGTTGCCAGCCTCGTAAGATACCCAAATAAAGTTTGAGTCGGTATCTTCGACAAAATGGCGAAGATTCTACTTATTTTACAATATGCGCATTGCTAAACTACCTACTACTGCTACTACCAAACACAAAAACAATTGAGCTTTGATTAAGGTCAACTTATCCAGTACAAACTTTAGTCTCGAGAGCAATTTCAGAGTTATATAATTCTACTTTTGCCTCAGATCTATTAGCCGGACATTTCAGTGAGGCCAACTGCCCCCTCCAGAAATGATATTCATTAATGTCTGACCCGAGCTTAATAACGTTGTAACAGATGATAGAAGAACTGAAATTTCACATTGACAACTCAAGCCCCTTCTCAATGATTCCCTCATTGCAATTATAGTGGTTCATGAGTATGCACTTTGATGTATGATGCTCGCGATTAAGTACGATATTTCAGGGTGTGAAATTTGGATTATGAGGCTATACTTAAGGGCTTCAGCAAATGAACAATCGCATTAAATTTTAAACTAGTGTTTTGCGTTCAGACTTCCTGATTCATGTTAATAATTTATAAACCATACCAACGAATGAACTCATTTTTTCGTTATAGAAACCTCGCGAGGTTGGAAACTTCAAGCGAATAAGAGACCATATAATTTATTCATATCCGGCCTTATGACTGTATGTTCAAAACAGATCTCAAACGTCCTTGAAGGAAGCAATACATGAAGGCCTCGTAGAAGTCCACGCATCTGAGGTATCTGATGTCTGCCGTAAAAAACGTGTTCCAAAGCACTTTATTGGACGGATGGCAGAACTGAAGACAATGCCGAGACGTGTCATCAAATACCCCGTTTTGCTCGCAGCAGTTTCTGACGTCAGCGTCGTCGGCAGCGCATGCTAGCACCTTTTGAAGTTCGTCATTTTGGCAGGGCGGCATCCCTTTCGAGAAACTCGCTTTAAACTGAAACATCGGTGTAAGAAAAGTTTGAATCTTGAAGTTAAGCTATACCGGACCTGATCAATGGTCATTGTGAAGGTGCAGAGGTTCGAGCAGGATCTCGATATCGGCGGATACAGCGACCTGCAGCAATTTCTGAAAGAAGCACTGAAATGGGTGCAAACCGAACCCACCCACGCAACATCCTTTTCTGCTAGCTCGTCATCGTGTTCTTCGGCCTCCTCTTCAATCTGTAACAAGAAATCAGTTATGCACACACATATGCTAGTCTCCTATCATTTCTCCGCATTCATCCGGCGCTGCTGCGCGGTCATCTTGCTTAGACTAGCCTAGGGAACCGTTCATGATGGCCACGGTTTCATGGTAAGGTGCTAAAGCATGGTATGTTTAAATCCATGCAGGCTGATCTGTGAGAAAGCAGGCACACAACTGCACAAAAATAAAGGGTATTATGTTACTGTACCTACGTCCATATCCGACATCCCAGCTGACCGTTGGTCGACGTCTCAGCTTGAAACATCCGGTAGCATTTCTAAGAGACCTACAGTGCTTCGATGACGTCGTGTCGCTGACGACTGCGCAAATGGCCGACCGACACTCACCGGAGGGTAACCTGCGTTGCTATTAGACTGGGACAGTGAGTCATCGCCGATGAGACGAGAATCATGATGGCGCGAGCTGCGATCGTTAGCCAGAGGATGCTATGGGATGGTATTACTGTAGAAGAGGTGGCCTTGTGCATATTGGAACAGTTTTGGCTAAGGACGGAGACATACACCCTGAAGTAAATCGACATTTTGGACTTGCATCTACAAATTATGGCTAACTGCATGAGATATGCATGAATCGATCCTAGAGAACGGATACGAAGATCACTGTCCTGAAAACAGTCGCCATTCGTTGGGCTCATGCGCAGTTCGAAGCATCTGCCGTCCAAGGGCATGAGACTCCCCTATACAACCTCAAACAACACTGTCTGATCAATATCATTAAAATGCGATAATAATAACCAGTCATGAACCAACAGATGCGAACGATCACAGGTCTCAGGAAATTTTCAGATGAACTCGGAGACTGGCCCCTGGCTTGGTTTTATAAACAGCCCAAAGAATATGGAAGTATATTCAAATTCTTCTCGCTTTGGAATCGTGTGTTGGTCAGCGGTAGAAGACGTGAAAGCATCTCGCTGAGGTGGACCTACTTTCGGAAAGGAACAGTGAAGTTGCCTAATACTAGTCTGAAGCACCATGTCTAACGGCTAAACATGATAATTCTGGGCTGCTGTGATGTTAAATCTCTATAGTCCATTAGAATCACATGAAGATGACAAAATAATATTAAAAAAGACATTTTTCATCCGAATCATAGGCATACTGTCCAAACCCATCCATCTTTGGTTACGTGATGTTATGACGAGTGATTGCTGAAAAATGTCGTGTCATTGACCATCACGGGAGTAAATTGATTAATTGAAATGAAATCGTTTTTCCATACCACGTTCCACACAGAGCAGATGGAATGATGTGTGTAAGCAAGCGAATGTTTGTGCCGTCTGAACGGATTTAGTGAAACAGCTTTCCACGCCAAACGAAAGAGCACCCCCACCCACTGTTTCAGATTGATCACTTGGCCTCTATTGCATCACTGGGATCAAGCATATCTCTGGCGGAGCAAAATGACAACAGATGCATACATGCGTCATGCAGGTGAAGAAATTTATATAAAGGGCTTCTTGGAATGGTAAATAAATTTGAAAAAAGTTTTAGAAACGTCGCAGCCAAATTAATTCATCTGGTTTGATTAATTTAATTAAATTTAATCAAATATTTGATTTTCAGTTAAGTCAGACATTGACGGCATGTTTGCTAAAGATGTTCAATTGTTTTCAAGTGGTCAATACTTTGAATGATCTCTTGTTGCCCCTTCAAACAAATTAACACTCTTTGTTTATGGCGTGATCTTTTTGGATGCTTTTCTAAGCGTCTAACTCGGTTCAGAAACGTTTTCACACGAATCACGTTTCAGCATGCTGTATAAAATTGAACATTCAAACTTAAAAGTGAATATCCTTCAGGAGTTTGTCAATAGCCAATCCATTTCCAGACCTGTATGACTTCTTCCGTCGTGCATAGCAGTTTGCCAATCGGCTTCCAGATATTAGCCGTTTTCTTTTTGGTCGTCTTTGAGCAGAAACGACATCTATTGAGTGAGGTGGTGATACTCACAAATCAAAATGTGAAAGATAACAGCTTAAATATTGAACCTCATTGTAATTCAATTTCAATTAGATTGTCATCGAATTCTTTCTTATCGTGAAATCCCTAATGAAATGTTAAAAAACAAGATATTAAATATAACGCTAGCGTGTCATATAAAACCCAAAACGAGCTTAATGTTTTATTAGGTAACAGCAGCGCTAAGCACCAAAGAATTCGTATGCCGGAGTTCGTCAAGTAAAGCAAAACTCATCCAAGAAGAAATATCACCGCAGATTACCTCTTCCATGATGTAAGGGAACTCTCGTTTTTAAGTAACTGCAGAATAACATTGTTCTATGCCAAAATGTGTGAATCTTTGCACGAGGAATCGGCTGAATATTTCGCAGGGGACCTCTCAGGTAGGATAAGAGTGTGAAGTGTGACACTAGCCAGTGCCAGTTAACCTTACCGAGACCACTGACTCACCAAGCGCCTCTGTTCTGGATATCGATGGGCGGTTGAAAGTTTTGGAGGAACGACGGTTGTCGTTTACGAAGGTTAGCATCTCGCTTCCACATCGTGAATACGGTGTTTGAACAGAACGAGAAGCGGCAGTGGATGTGAAGGAGCCCTAATGGAACCACCGTAAGCTAACTCGACTACACTGAAAGACTAAAAGTCGGGTAATGACAGATGAGTCTATCACCTAGAAAACGGTGTCTCGTGATCGTACCTCAGACTGCTCCTCTCAATAGTCAAAATCGATGTCACTAAAGAAGATCGGGTTAGAAGAGCTGAAAAGCTATTGGATGAATATTCGATCCTGATGCTTTCGCAGGTAAACCACGTCGGCTGAACCCAGCAATAAACATCAGCAGAGGCATCGATGCAGATTCTCTGCATCTTTTCCATGCCATCAGTATTACCATCCAGTCATTCATCCGAGCAACCATATCGACAAGGAAACAATGCCACAGCTCTGCAACGAGGCAGCGGTTGGTCATACTATCGGGCAACAACGGACGAGTCAGGTGCGTTATTCATAAATGCTGATGAAGATACGGGAGAATTATGCAGAGTACCGGAGGACAAAGCTGAGAGAGGTCGTATTAAAAAAAATGCTGGAAGCCGCTGTAAAGTGCATCCTTATTTAAAAAGCGGGTTCCGATAGTACGAAACAACAAATGAGCAGCAAGAACCAAG